AAAAAAATACCCCCTTTTCTGTATTTCTCCGGATAAACCTGCTAAATGTACCCCTTTTTAAAGGATTCTCGGGCCGGAGATGGCGTTCTGTAACAACACAGTGCAGCCGCATGACTGACTATAATACCAACATGTCAACAAGCGTAATCTCCGCGTAGTAGGAACTAGCCTGTAGTTATAACTAATAAACATAGTAGCCGCGTGAATATATATATATAGTAGTACATCCCATCAAGTCGTTGCAGTCCGCGGGAGGCTCTTGATCGACGTCCATAGTTTGGTAAGGGTCGGTATGAGACAAGGCTTTCACGGACCAAAAAAATCACGTTAGGGTTATTTACGATTATTAGCTAAGCTTATTTTTTTATTTTGCTTCAAAATCTAGACCATTTTGAATAATGACCACGTGTATGTAATAGCGGCATACGGAATTACTACCTTACCAATAGCAGGGGTTAATAATGCCATTAATACTAATTAATTTAATTACATTAATAATAACATCATTATTAACCCCTGCTAATAGTGACCGTATGTTACCAGCGTATACTGGCGACGGTGTAGATGAAACGGCGGACAGTAGGTGCGCAGCGACAAGTACAGCGACAAGGACGTAACCTTACTCTCTAGCGTGGAAGCAGAACATCAGGACGACAAACCTGGTCATCATTATCGCCCGGGCGGAGGGCACTCCCATTGTTAAAGGTACTGGGGACTAGACAGGGTATATTTTCCGAACATCATTATTGGCACAGGGTATATTTTCCGAACATTATTATTGGCCCAGGGTATATTTTCCGAACATCATTATTGGCACAGGGTATATTTTCCGAGCATCATTATTGGCACAGGGTTATCTAGATACACACCCATCAAGCTGATATTGGGCCAATATCACCAGGCCAATATTGGACAATTATAGGCAGATATTGGTCCAATATTGGGCCAATATCTATCTATCTATCTATCAATCTGCCTATATATATTTACAGGACAGGACATAACCGAAATGTGCAATATTGCAACAGGGTATACTTTTTAGTGCAGTATATTGGGACAGGGTGTAATTTAGGGCGCAAAGCGGTTTGCGACAAGGTCAGGTTTTCAATGTCCCGGAGGCACCCCCCTACCCAGTTCCGAGGCGAGTGCACCCCCCACCCGGGCATTATCGTCAGTTCATCGCTTGATGCACCGAACCCTCCAGCATCGTACACATGATATTCGAAGCAGTTTACTAGAAACAGAATTACCCGCCACTCTGTATAGTCTACGTAAAGCAGTGGTTCCCATGAATGGGTTGATTGATCCAATTATTTATTTATTATTATATATTTATATTTCATTACAAAGTACTTCGTAATCACGTACAAATGTTTTGCGCCACTACTAGGTAATCACGATAAATGTAACGCCGCACGTAAGTTAACACCAACCAACACCAGTGTCCATCAAACAGCAATACAAGTCCGTCACACAGTAGGATCCGTAAATCAGTAGAAAAGATCATTCAGGCACTAACACTTAGTCAATCTGGCAGCGACATGTCTATCAGGCAGTAACACATGTGGTAATAACATTAGTATTACATGTGGTAAATACATGGGTAAATCAAGAAGAAACGCAAGGGCAAGTAATTTAGGGCCTACGTTGAAAAATTCCGAGTCAGGCGTGGTTGACACCTCCTTATATAAGTGTCGATCGTGGATATACAGGATAGTTAATTGTTGCTGGTACAACAGATTATAGTCAAGTCAAGGCGAATGATGTCAAGCAGTGACTAGTTATAACATTTGTGTTCCTGGCCGTGGGCAGTTCGCTATTTTATCACGTAATAGTATCAACATTGGTCCGGTGGCAACTTCTAAACAACGTTATAGAATAAATAGCTATTACCCGATATATATTTTTTCACTATATTTTAACGCAATGACCATTAGTAGACAATACGGCACTATAGCTACTAGCTATACGGCTACTATATATACGGCTACTATACGGCACCAGAGCCCGGCAGTGAACGTAGGGAATTCAATTACTGTAGACTCAGGTTTACAGATTCTAGATGATGAGTTGTTCCACCCTTGGATTCATACAGAGTAGAGCGAGTCACAGTACGAACTTGATCGCGGAATGACACTATTAGTATTCTCGAGGAACTACAGAAAATGTCTGTCGGCGACAGAAATTCATATCAAACTCTATAGATAAAGCTATAGATAACTCTATATAGATAAAACTATAGATAACTCTATATAGATAAAACTGCTTGCCTGAATTCCTGTATGGCTTTAATTTGCAGCCTGTGGAATATTACGCAGGCAAATCTTACATATATTATTACGAGTATAACCTTATATAAGCAAAACGTTACAAATATTATAAATATAAAGAGCATTCATATGCAAATTGCAATGATGGACAGCGGGGGCACCAACGTTAGTGCTTGGTTTCCCTATGTGGGGTACGTTAGCATTCAACCTATTATATTTTCGTTGATAAAATCAGGACACCAAAAGCAACCCATACTGCATGTATGACTTATGATTCAACTGTACATCACAAAACACTGCTTATAAGAGAGATAAGAAATATCACTCTGCAATAATCTAATAAGTGCATGACATTATTCTAGATGAACTGAGCATGCATCATCCTTAATCATTTCTCTACTCGACTATATTTAGATGTGACAGGCCCAGACACATCGACACACGTTGGCCTGTTAGAGAACACATTCATAACATATTTGGACAATAGGTATAACATCTGGAAGAAGACGTGAAATATTCCATACATATTCGAAGAACTAACAAGTGCCGCAGAGCGACAGCGCTCATCTCACGTCTACTGTGGTGACTCTGTGGTGGAGTGGTTTACTATTGGTAAAGGTGACATACAAAAATTCCATACTGGTTATTTCTATGGCTTGATGTCTAATGTGACCACGAGTATACTCGTTGACTTATCAAATTTTGCAGAAACAGAGTCAACATCCACCATGAAGGGCATTTTCAAATTGAGACTGTACTGCCCAGCTACAACTGTCAGATCCTCCTGCGTAACATCAAGCTGACAACTAGCTGCTATCAAGATGCCTTGCAGTGTGATGGTGACCTGAACTCTCTTCGCACATGCTCCCTCTTGTGGCAGTATTTCAACCACATGCTTTGGTGTTGTTACATGACTCTTTTTTGCACTCAAATCCGTGCTGTGTTTAGTCGAGACTTCGTTCATATCCAATAAAGTGGGTGTTGAGCAAATAACAACATCACGATCTTGCCCCGAAATTTCACTACTGGGTGCTGGCGAGTGTTTATCATTTGGCATCTTATCAGACCCATGATCTTTAACTTCTTTTAATTGCGTTTTATAATAGTCCACTAGAGACGGTTCTGGTTTAGAACTGTTACTTGCAGTTGACTCTTTTTTGTGATTATCAGCACTGCCACTTAATGTTGAATTAGCTATGGTGGTAGGCTTTGCAGAATTTCTCTTCTCTGATAGGACATTGACGAGGGATGAGGGATTTGGTGTCAACAGTGATCCGTCACCAATACGGGGCTGCACTACAAAGAACTTTTCCAGGCTGAGCGTTTTGAGGCCAGGCTGGAAGTTGGTATCCGGCAGCAAGGAGTATGTGTGTGAGAGACTGACAGCAGAATGATGTTCAATGAAGGAAATAATCAGGTCTATCAACATCTGACGTTCCTCATTGTTACTGCAGCATTCTTCCAAGACTGAAGAATTTACAGCGACGGCAGTCACACTGAACGAACCTGAAATATAAGTTTTTTCGGTAACGTTAAAATTTCAATTTAATGAGCAAGAAAGATAATCAATAAATGAATTTAAAAACTTTAAAAGTACCTTTCTGGTCAAATCCTGTATCCCAGGTTCCAGCCAACATTGAGATTGCTTCACACTTAGAACGTGGTGCAGGAACTTTATTCCACTGGCAGACATTGACAAAGACTCTTGTGTCATTTCTAACCTTAGAAAAAAGTTGACATCCTGAGTAATCACCACTATGGCATTAAATTTAACAATATTCAACTAATTATTTGCTACAATAATCAAGAACTTATTGATATGAAAATCTTACCTTTACTGTAGAAAAACACATATTTGCCCGAGGAGGTAGAATTTCGTTCATAGACGACTTGAGCAACTTGTGATACTCCTCAGGTGCTTCCATCTGCAAGTCACTTAGCATATTCCACACCTAAGTTGATAAAAAATAAATTTAATTTGCATTAGTTCAAGTGTGGAAGCGGAACAATTTCAGGAAATCCAAAATTACATTGCCCCCATCTAGTAGTACAGTCGACCTCGCCTAAGTCGACATCGCACAAGTCGAAAAATCGGCGAAGTAGCTAGAAGCTCCACAAAAGTCCCGATCTTTCCTTATGTTTTTACTTTGATAAATCTTCGTCTAAGTCGAAATTCACAAGTCTAATTCCAGCTATATCGAAGAAGAATTCTAGTCCCAATGGAACCATGCGCGAACTTAGCCACGAATTCTTCCGGGTCAGGTCATTTGTGACAAAATATTTTGTATTTCAACCATACAGTACACATACTCATGCGTCTATGTCGTTGTAATGCTATGTACAGTCTTCGCGTGTGCACGTACCAGGGGCGGATTCAGACCGTATTTGCCGTATTGGAAAATACGGTCTAGATTTCAAAGTGCCCTTCGAAATTTTGCGCTAAAAAATACAGAAAACAATTTGATGGAATTTGGCTATATTCTTTATTTGTTTTCTTTTTCTTCTAATTCATTAACAGGACTTGAAGAAAATCAACATTTTAAATGGTAACAAAACTAGCTTTGATATCTGAAAAAGAAGGGAAGGGCTTGAATCATTCTGCATTAATTGTTGGTATGCAAAGCGCAGGCAAAATCAAGCAAAAATAAAATTTCATATATGGTTTTTAGCTATTGCTGCTTGACTAAATGTGTACTCAAATGGTGCTAATTTTGGTGCCCATGCAGGGACCCTTGAAATTTTTAATTTCCTGGGGGAGGCGGCCCCCAGACCCCCGCCATGTGCTTCCGCGCCTGATGGCGCCCACTGTGGGGTGGTGTGCCCTTTTTGGGGGATGTGCCCTTAAAATCTGGAAAAATACTGTCTATCTTCAGCCCTGGATCCGCCCCTGCGTACACGTGCGTGCGTGCGTGTGAACGACCTGTGGCTTAAACCGACCAGGCTCTCCGACTGTTACACGTCGTAAGACGTAGTGTTTTAAGCGAGAAGGGAACTTGTGGCTACCTGTGGCCATAGATCATTAGATGCTGTGGCTATGCTCCGAGACTCAGAACTGTGCCTGTGCCGTGGCTGTACGATCGTACGGGGTGTTAATTAAATTAAACTTGTCTTTAGTTAATGTTATTACTAACTCCGTTATATATAATTTTTACCTGTTGTACTTGACTGCAAATGTCATCTGCCATATTTAATTATAAGGTGCAGTTATGCAAATGATCTTGCATATGTTTCAAGAACACGATAACCAAGCCGTCGCTCGAGTACGGAGTAAACACTGCTCTCGCGCGTGCCTATCAACGAGTTTGCGTCTCTCTTGGTCCCTGCTATATCCGGGCATTTTGTAGTACATTTTGCAAACTGCGCAAGATAATTCAGTTTTAAAACGTTATAAAACTATAAACAAACAGTAACAAACAAGTAAAAACAAACGGTTTGTAAACATACAAAATACACACATATATAAATATAAAATGACAGAAATTCTATGTAACACATGTATGTTCCTATAGGTGGCGCTGCGGTGGTCCAGGTTGTTGCTTGATGCTGGAACGTCGATAGGTAGGTAAAAATGATCTAATAACGTTATGTCATGTTATGTTTGTTATGTTCTGATATTTGGCGTCCCGTACAGGGAATATAGTGCCAAGGTAGTCCATCAGCTAACTGACCATCAGTGTGTAATGAGTGCATACGTGTACGACTCGTGACATCAGTTGACAGTTGTCATGAACTAGCTCTAGTACTACTCTACCTAGCCTCTACCTACCCTACTAGCCTCTACTACTCTAGTACTATAGCCCGCTTACATTAACTGCCGCTGGCCGCCGCTTTCCTGGTCGCCGCCTGGCCGCCTGCTGCCACAGGCACTTGAAGCGTTTCAACTGTAAACACACGCCGCCGCCATTGCGCGCACACTGACACATAAATATATTCGCTGCTGGCTATCTATCATGCCCAGCAGCCGGGCTACACGTCTTCGTTTCCCTAAAGCCCGGCAGTTCTTAACCCTACGTCTAACCCTAACGCCTAAAAACCTACAAAAAACGCCTAAACTCTACCGCTAAACCTAACCCTAAACCCAATCCTAACTCTAAACCCTAACCTTGTTTTACTTTGAGGATAGACGGCTAAAATTAAAAATGCGGCATTTAGGAAATCGAAGACCTGCTGCGCCGGCAGTCGCGTTCAGATTACGCCGGCGGCCGGGCAATAGCCACTGTGCTAAATATATAGGCAGGTTGAGAAAGCGCGGATCCCAAAAATTCGCTCGACCGCTCGCTGCATTTCTCACGATTCAACACAAATACACATCCAACAGCTTCCATCTTTGTTTCTCCTTCAGAACAGTGTTCACTTGTTATAAAACATAGCGTGCTGTTCGTAACCGAGCTGTGTCACGCGAAATCACACAAAGACTGACGAAATTCTCGCGTTCGCTAGCACTGCGCACCGGATGGTAACGAACTTTCGCCCATGGTTAAAGGCGGCGAAAGTTCGTTAACATCCGGTGCGCGAGTCGCGCTTTCTCACCTGCTATATATTTATGTGTCAGTGTGCGCGCAATGGCGGCGGCGTGTGTTTACAGTTGAAACGCTTCAAGTGCCTGTGCCTGCTGCCGCCAGCGGCAGTTAATGTAAGCAGGCTATAGTACTAAAGCTAGTCATGAACATGCTCTGAACATCGTGTATGATTGATGTACATTGCAGTTTGCACATGATACTGATAGTGCTTATTGTCATACACCGCATTTCCTGAAGAATTTGCACTTACAGTGCTTTAATCATGCTAGAGTAAAAAAACGGTAGGGTCAAAAATGTGTTAACTAGGATTTTCACGCAATAACTTCGCGCCTGTGCGCAAAATGAAGTTAAATTTCGGCCAATGACAATGTATCCTTGTGGGTAGCTCTAGTACTATAGCCCGCGTTCACTAACTGCGGCAGGGCTATAGAACATTGTCAGCTCGATTTCGCTACTGCAACCTGTCACCACCTGTCCCCATGAAAAATTGATTACAAAACGCAAAATGATCGGGTTTTTTAACACTTATTTATCTACATGGACACCTCACCTATCTTTTTGAACACTTTCCACAACTTTACACCATGTATTTATCTTTTTATTACTCAAAGTCAGCACTACTGGCATTCCCGTTTGAAATATTCTGGCGTGCGAACGCGTGACGTCACCGGTATTGTATATACATGCACCATAGCTGCCATGTGTTTTGCCTACATATCTGGTGCATGTATATACACTACCGGTGACATCACGCGTTCGCACGCCAGAATATTTCAAACGGGAATGCCAGAAGTGCTAACTTTGATAACAATGAACACTTTGTTCTAAATAAGAACTATCGGCGGCTAAATAAGAGCAATATACAGTCCTTTGAATTTCTTGACTAGTCAGTCAAAGGGCTTGTTGGGGTCCATTATGCAGAGCTTCCAATTGAAATGGCCCATGAAATTGTCAAGTGGAATTGTGTTTTTCGGAACCCCAAAGAAAATGTCTCCCTCTTACATGCACCCCCTCCCTTAGCTCTAGTACTATAGCTCGCGTACCGTTGCCGCATGGCTATGGCGATGTTTCATGTTTATAAACATTGACGTCATATGCGTACATGCGCAGTTTAACGGTTGGCAGCAAGCAGATGCGTGATATTGTTCGATACAAGCACACACACGCACGCACGTGTACGTACGCACGCACGCACGTGTACCTGCACACACACGCATGCACGCACACATGCACACACGTGTACCGGCCTGCACACGCACACACGCACGCACGAACGTGTACCTGCACGCGCGCACACACGCACGCACGCACGTGTACGTGCACACACACGGACGCACGCATGCACGCACGTCTACATGCACATGCACATGCGCGCATACACATACGCACGCACGCACGTGTACATGCACACACACGGACGCACGCACGTACGCACACACTCATGCACGCACGTGTACGTGCACACGCACGTATACATGCACACGCACACACTAGTGTTGTCAATCGGTTGTAATTTCATAATCGATCATCGGTTGGACCCAAGTAACCGATGATCGGTTACAATCGGTTACTCGGGGTGTTGAATGCCTGCGTGTGCATAACGTCGTGTGCATGTATGTGTGTGCATGTATGTGCTTGTTTAGCCCTGTTTACTGTTTGTTTTGCACTGTTTACTACTGTGTGTATAATACATGTACTGATTCTCATCACTTTTCCAAGTTTTCTTGTTCAAATTATTATTTTTTTTATTAAATCGATTATGGATTTTTATAACCAAGCGCTTGGTTCGAGCCATTGTTCAACCGATGATCGAGTATAATCAATGATCGTGACATCACTAGCACACACACACGCATGCACACACGTTTACGTGCGCACGCACACACGCATGCACGCACGTTTACGTGCACAGGCACTTGTACGTGTCACGCCCGCACGTGTACGTGTATGTGCACACGAACGCACGCACGCACGAACATGTACGGGCCCACGCACACACACACGCACGTGTACGTGCACACGCACGCACGTGTAAGTTCACACACACGCACGTGTACGTGCACTACATAAACAGTGCTTTCTATCAGAACATGTGGTCATTCATCTGTAAATGTCAAGCAGCACGCTTCGCTTCTGCCAACCACAACACATAACAAATACACGTGACCTGATCTATGACGTCACGTGAAACATCGCTATAGAACATTTTATGCCAGTTTTCCTAACTGCACCTGCTCCCCAATGCTTCCACGAAAAATGGCTCAAAAAACGCAAAATGATCGGGCTTTTTAACACTTATTTATCTACATGGACATCTCACTTATCTTTTTAAACACTTTCCACAACTTTACACCATGTATTTATGCATTTATTCCTCAAAGTTCTAGCATTACTTGCGTTTTATTTTCAAATGCTGTTGTGTACACGCGTGACTTCACCCGAAATGTAGACAAAACACATGGGCAGCTATGATGCAGACTATTACATTTCGTGTGACGTCACGCGTGCACACAACAGCATTTGAAAACGAAACGCAAGTAGTTCCTAGCACTTTGAGGAATAAATGCATAAATACATGGTGTAAAGTTGTAGAAAGTGTTCAAAAAGATAGGTGAGGTCTATGTCCATGTAAATAAATAAGTGTTAAAAAGCCCGATCATTTTGCGTTTTGTGAGCCATTTTTCGTGGAAGCATTGGTGAGCAGGTGCATCTAGAAAAATGGAGAAAGATCATACAATCTTCTGCATTTCAGACAACAACCTCAGTTGAATCACACATTTTAAATATATTACACAACAATATCTGGTTTATTGACCAACTTAAGCAGGTATAGGCTACATATCCGAAGTAATAGGAGGTAAAAATAGGGTCCTGAAATGTTCGTATTAGTAGTATACTACTAACGCTCTTTCCGAATCCTATTCATAGTTAACTGATGAGGCTTTTTGTTGGAATAGAAATGGCAGAATACAAGGGAGCAGCAAGCGAGGCAGGGCGTGCCATGCAACTAATCAAACGCCGGGAGAAGGAAAAGAAAGAATTGGAACTACGGAAACAAAAGATTGAGGAAGGAATTGTCTCAAACATTGGCAATAAATTTGCTGTTCATTATGATGCTGTGGAAGTACAGTTGAAATCCAGCACAGTTGGCCTGGTATGTATAGATCAGTATATTCTTCACTAGGAAAAGTTTAAAGGAAGACTTGACTCTAGGTTCTAGGGTTATTTTCAGTTGATTTAGGTTAAAATTGCACTCCATTAAAAATTTCATGATTCAATCATCATTAGAAATATTTTTTTAATGTTTTAAAACTAACGACTACAGTTTGATTACAACGACGGTGGCGCATCTCAAAGTGCACTGTCTGAAAAGTTGTGCAAATGGTATTATTTATAAATCATAAATAAATAATAATAATAATATGATTTATTATTATAATAATGGTATGGTAAAGTATGTGCTATTATTTATAAATCTACTATCATAATATACTCTCAAATTCTAGAGTAAAGTATTTCTTTAATGACGCTTCTTGCATGTCATCTATCAATCTATTTGCCTGTCCCAATCTACCTGTTTTTCTGTTTGTGCATCCTTCAATTCGTCTGTTTTTCCACCCATCTACATGAGATATTTTCTGTGATGTGGTGTGACACACCAAGTGACAAACATAGTCTCAATGATATTTGCCTCATTTGCTACTTTATTGAAAGGAGCATTAATTAAATAAACTTCCTATTGGCATGTGATTACTTTCATGTACAAGATAAAACGTTTAATGTGCGTGCAACAATTATAACACAAAACAATTTCTCTTTTGCAGTACTGAGAGACACTGTTGGTAGCAAGCATGGATGCAGCATCCAATCCTAAATAAGAACTGTCGTGTTCTGGCTGTTAAGGATATCACAGTATCACACTATATTCACTGCTATGTGTAGCTTTTTATGGTTTCACGACTTTGATTCCAGGTAACTCTTGATCAGATGAAAGCTAAGCAGGAGTTTATGATAAAAGAAAGAGAAAAGCAGTTAGCTAAGAAGGAGGCTGAACATAAACTCAGATTATTAGAGGAAAGGCAGAAAGAAAAACAGGAGCAGAAACAGGTATGGCTCCTTTAAATTAGGTGTGTACCGGATCCAACTTTTTAAGTTCCGGCCGGAACCAGAACCAGCCGGAACTTTAAAAAATAATTCTGGCATTTTATTCGCGAGCGAATTGTGTTGCAAAACCTGCATGTTGCAGTATCCCTGGTTTTAGTCGATTATTTTCAACTAACAAACAGATGCTATTCCTGTGGCTCTACGAGTATTTTATTTTAAAAGAAAATCTCGTGAATCACCTAACATCAGTTAGGTTCAGTTCAGTTAGTTAGCCGATGTTCAAGTGGCAAACGTTTTCTGGGCAGAATAGTGTAAAGTTGTTAACACTATATTGTCAGCAAGTTGACTCTATTCAAGCTCAACTACATTCAGTGACTGATCTTTTGATCTTGATGACGCTTGTAGCATAAATGAAATTAGGAAAAAACTTTGAAAAATTGGTGATCCGGCCGGATCCAAGTTCCAGTGCACACCTACTTTAAGTTTAAATGGGTGTTTATAACTCTTGACATGAAGACCTAAAGGCAGTTGCACTAGGTATTCAAAACCTAGTATCTGAGCACGTGTGAAGTGAATTGCCATTCCTCCCGATAGTGCTGTGTCATCATTATTTATTGATATAATATAATGGATTATAGTAACAACATCATGTCCTGACAGTGCTCAGATGATATTTGATGTTTCTATGTAGAGAGCCACTTTGTCATTTAACATGGATGATGATGGTTCAGAAGAAGAGACCGAGGATGTGGATTCTAAGGAGGAAAGTAGAGATTCAACTGATGTAGAACCTCTTCTAAAGAAGAAGAAGCTCGGTAAAAATCCAAATGTTGATACAAGCTTCCTCCCAGATAAAGAGAGAGAAGAGGAAGAGAATGGCCTCAGAGAGCAACTACGACAGGTTTGGTGTAGTCCTATCTATTATTATTTAGTCATTAAATTATATTATTTTATTAGATTAGTAAAACAAATATTTTCTTAGAGGATAAGTTAGATTGATAAATGTATAGTATATTTGTATATTGCTGTAAATATGACATTTTTGTCATCTATCTATATTCCCCCTACAGGGGCAGATCCAGGATTTTTGAAAAGGGGTATCCATGAAGAAAAAAAATGCACTTTTTCCTGCTTACTTTTTCTGGTGTTTTAAAAAGCTGCCGAAGGCCACTTAGATGGGGTTTGGCGGACCTCCCCCAAGATTTTTTTTTTAAATTGGTGCATTGTGAGAGCATCTGCGCAGTAATTTTGATGTCTAGAATGCAAAAATTTCAGTATCAGATCCGGTAACCCGGACGCCTGCGGACCTCTCTTTGCCCATTTCTAGGGTTTTATAACGAATTTACATATATATAAGTAAATCTTTATCTGAAAAACTAGCGCTAAACAAGATTTTTTTATGGAGACAATATAAGAGAAGTGTGTGTGTGTGTGTGCGTGCGTGCGTGCGTGCGTGTGTGTGTGTGCGCGCACGCGTGCGTGCGTGT